AGCAAAGGGGCTCCAGAGTGCAGAGACGGGGGAGCAGGCAGTCCATGGCCAGTCCAGGGCCCAGGGTGCCTCAGTGCAGAGGATGGCTAGCCCCTACTGAGGCACCTTGTGCCCCAGCCAGCCCCCCCTGCAGCACGTAGAGCAGTGGGAAAATCTGTCCCAGTGCAAAGCACATAGGCAAGTTGGTGGCACAAATTTGTGCCACTTCTGTTTGTGGGCATGCCCTTATTCGTGTGGACCCTGCCACTGACTGCGATTTAAAAATGCTCACCCTTACCCCTCCCAGGGACATTAAGCATGACAGAAACAAAGAAACTGAACTGGAAATGGAGGCAGAGCAGTCATTTGGAAAGTTGCAAAATAATTGTAACACAGACTTCATACTCCACCATAAAGTTACACCAATACATTGAGGAAACAAGAGCCTTCATAGATGAATAAATTGATTTTATTTAAATACAATTATAGGCACATCTTTTCTATTATTAACCACTATATCATTTGTTAAAAGGCACCAATATTTAACAATAATTTAAATATTTACGAAAGCAGTTACCTTTTTTTTTTAATGACATTTGTAAACTTGATAGACTCCATCCACTCCTTGAGTTCAAATGTTAACAGTTGATAAAGAAATGCCAAAGGTCAAATTTATTTAATGATTATAGCTACATGGTAAGGAACAGCATTTGAAAACACTGAGTGAAACTTTCTACTTAAAAAACAGTCCTCCCTAAAAGATGATGGTTAGATTAATTGTGCTATTACAAAAAATACTAGACAGGTTGAGTATACTATAAATACTGTAAACATTACTATAGTCTCATGTTTGTATTTGAACATGGTAGCACCAGACCTCTGGATTGGTAGTCCAGAATTTCAAAACATCAGGCTGTAAGATATGTTCCTGCCAATACATATTTCTCCAGATATGAGACATTATATATCATGGTATGAAATAGCTGTGCCTATATTAAAGTTAGCCTCTGGTACAGTGGTTCCCAACCTTTTTTTTCCATGACCCATTGCTGGGAGCGGAGTGTGGCAGCAGCAGTGGTGCAGGGGCACGGGAGCTCCAAGCATGTGGCGCGGCTTGTCTTTTCCATGAAGTACCGCTGGCACTGCCCCTGTGACCCTCATTTTGTCACGACCCAGGGTTGGGAACCGCTGGTCTAATGCATTAAGCTTCATTTCAATTCAGCATTGCGATATACTATTCGAGGACTAGGGAGACAGAAATGTCACCCAGTCATGTTGAACAGCCTTACCATACACCTGCAGGCCAGCTTACATAGGTTATGAGCGCCTTCAATTCACACTTAAGTGACAACTCTAACCACTTGACAAGTTCCACCCCTCTATGTCAAAAGCTACTCAGAAGAACCACGAGCAGCCAATAAATCACTAGTTTTAGAGGAGGAATTGGCCTGAGCTGAAAAATTCCAGTTATGGATTTTAAATACCAAGATGTGTGATGCAGGTGTGCTCTGTTCTGGTTTGATTCATTACAGTAGTAGAACCAGCACTGAAACTGAGATTCAGATTACAAGGTATGCCTTCCTGTCTGTTAAAATGTAGGATTTAGGTTTAGGTCTATCTGTACAGTAAACCAAACTACTTATCAAAAAGACAGATTTGGCAAGGGCAAACGTAAGGTATGGGAAAACTCGGAAGGAAAGTATTGGACATTATGAAATGTTTTAATTTTTTTATTTTAGCAAGTTGCAATGCCAATTTTGCTTCTAAGAAAAAGTATTTTTTATGTAAGTGATTCCTGTAGTTTCTTTGAATTCCTAGAGGGCAAACTGCATCAGACACTCTTGGTTTTCCTAACTTTCCAATTATTCTATGCGGCACCCTCCAAATCTCGCACAGGAAGACACAGGCCACCCCTCTCAGGAGACTGAATCATACATGGGCTTCCTACATGACAACTGTAATGGAGCATGTGACAAAAGCAGCAACAACATCCAGGTCTATCACAATTGCTGGAATCATGCCACAGCTTAGTTCCTTGAATATGGGTACTTCCAGAAGTTCAGTCAAAGATTCTCGGAACTGTGAAAGTGAAAAGAAGAGTTCTCATGGATACCCACTTCTTGTCTCATTAGGGACAATCTGTCTAAAAGAGAGTGGGTGCCCAGCTTTCCCTTCCCAGTTCTGGCCCTTGTGTTCCAACACCAGCTCTCACTGTCTTAGCAGATCAGCATGAAAACAGCAAGGTTTTTAGAAAGGAAAGCAATGTTAAATCCCCTCTAGTTTCACAACTAGTGCAGGTTACTGAAATATTTAACTCACCCTTGGGCCCACTCTGTCAAATGACTTGGATTCATTGCCAACACAAGTTTCTGCAATGAACCCCAAGGTTCTATACTTTAACGATATCATTCAGCTATTGGAATGGTAACTGCAAGAAATGTCCCCTGTATTGTATACTCGAACGGTTAAAGGACTGTGCTTTGTTTCATCTCCTTTTCTTAAAATTTGCAGCCACTGGTTCAGTAGTATTATCTATATCACAGACGTAGCTCTTTTTATACATAAGATCTCAAGGAAAGAGAATAAAACATCGTTTTACATTATAGTCAGATTCAATGACAGCCATGCTGCTTCAAATCTTTTGCTGATATAAATAGCCAAAATACCACTGATGCCAATGGAAACGTCCTTTAATTGATGCCAGCAGATCATTTGATTTTAATGGGGTTATAATTAGTATAACTAATGTGAGATTAGACCCCATGTGCCACACAAGTCTTAAGGGGTAGGTATTATTTCTACTAGGAAGATAATGCCATGGACTGCTGTAAAAAAAAACTTTGACATGATGATAGGGAAATACCAATAAATATGGAACATGAAAACACAGATACCTAATTCACAGGAGTGTCCTAAGGCAGGGTTCCTTACTGCTGCAGAGAGATACAAGACTTACCAAAGGAAAGCACTTAAGAGCAAATAATGGAAGAATCAATAGACGCGTACTGTGAGGTTAGGCTCTGGGATCCAAACTTTCCCATTTCACAGAGCACCTAAACAAATGAAAAGTTTGGGAGCACACTGTTCTCAGGGTATAAATTAGGCTTATCTTTGTTCTTAACTATATTTTTTAACTACAAGCATCAGCCTGTCCTGACACTTGATGGGGATTAAAATAAATTTAAAAATAACCAATTAAAATTTTCATTTTAAACAGACACTCCAAACAGGCTGTGTCCTTTAACATACTCAAGGCTCAGCTTACTTCAGGGTAGCCCTGAGTTATGTGAATTATTTGTACAGTATTACTTGTTATTGAGAAGAATGTGGGGAATACCTGAGCACCATGCTTTTTAATGCATGCAATATTTTAAATTTAGTTCCGAGTTAAAGATTTTAAAGTTTAGCTTGGCCTGGAATATCTCTGTAAAACTTAGTCTTCTATAGCTTCACTCTTGAAACACCAGCAGCTGAAAATAGGATTCCCTGAAAAAAACAGGTTCTTGTAGCTGTGTTAATCTAAGGACATAGGCAGACAAGGTTCTTTCTTCGTCTCAGCCTGACAAAGGGTTTTTGAACCTGAAAGCTTGCTTAAAAATTTGTTTTCCAACTATTTAAGTTGGTCTAATAAAAGATATCAGATTCACTCAAAGAACCTTGTCTGCCTAGGTTCTTGTAGTGCATCTGTAAATTTAAAAGTGAAGTAACCATACAAAAGAAAGTGTCTTGAGCTTTTCTCCTTATTCCTGTGTTCCCTTTCATCTATAAATTATGATAAATAGATTTTTATATGATAGTCCTGCTGCAATTTGATTTTAAGCTATATTAAGCTTTACAATGAAGGCCCAAGGATAATCCAGAAGACTACCACACACATAAAGACCAAATCCTGCCCCCACAGCTCTCAGCTGCCAGTGAAAAGGATGACGTATGTCAGAAAGCAGAACTGGGCTCTAGCCAAGGAGTATATTGTAAAAACATTAGCATAATAAGAGAAAAACATACTTCCCCAGTTCCAGTCTCAATGGGTTGGAACTTCTTTTATAAAACATATTACTCTGCAGCTTTCTGTTTTTAAATGCAATGAGTGTACTACTAATAAATATTTTTAAAGGAAGCATTCTAGAATCAAGGAGGTTTGTGCAGAGTAAATGACCTACCATTAATGATTCCTGCGTAACACTGCCTGAAGGATTCCTATTGTACTCCATACCAGCAGTTCCCAAGCTCTGACAGATTGCACACCACCAACTTAAAACAATACAACCTTAAGTACCAGCAACAAATTTTTAAGATCAACCTAAGTACCACCAGCAAATTTTTGTCATATAATTATAATAAACCTGTCTGCATAACACTGGTGGTACCCATACCACAGATTGGGAACTGCTGCTCTATACTCTAACAAGTAGACCCTATAAAAACATATATTGTTGTTGAAGAGCAAATGCCCACTCATGTCCAACTGCAGTCTTTTAAAGAATAAACTTGGGTCATAGTTGTACTTCCAATTTTACACCCTCTGGGGGCAGTATTACTGCATGCAATACAGCTCACTAAAATTTTGCCACATATTCCTTTCCTATTCCTACACGTGATATGCAGGCACATCTTTTCTGTAACAGCAGCTAAAGGCACTCTGCACTTCAAAGAACTGGGCTTCAATTTGTCCAAGAAAACTATTTTAAATTCAGCTATTGCTTCGTTGCACAAATAAAGCTAAAACTGAGAAAACATTTGTTATGTGCAGCACACTGCTCTACAGAATGCTCAGTATTTGCAAGAGAAGTGCAGGGGGAACAGTGCAGGTATCTCCGCCATGGGCTGTATGCAAGCACACTTGCTATCAACACTGAGCCTAGCATGCACATTTATGCACCATGTGTTATCATGCAGCTGCTTCTGTGCCCTGCAGAAATCCTGCCAACCTGCATGGAGGGAAAAACAATCATTGGGGTAAAAAATGAATTGGAATGTTGCTCTACTCAACACACAGCAACCCTTCTATAAAAAGTTGTTATCCCTGCTGTAGAGAGTAGAGTCACTGTACTGGGAAGCCCAGGGTAAGAAGAGGGCCCTGGAATAGGTAGCTTCTCATAATGACAGGTAGTCATTTTTTAAAACTTTGATCATTTCATAGAAATTGGAATGAATACATATGGTAATGAACAAATTAATTATCTAATGAGCAATGACATTCTTTGATATATTCAACAATGTAAATGTAAGACTTTTCTACCAGTTTGTGTGCTTGTGTTTTTTCCATTCTTTTTAGGATCTACACTGTTCTTTTATGCACAATTGGGACAAAATAGCCTTTTGGGGTTCTTAATACATGGAACTCTATTAGCTTCTCCAACAGCAGCAGCAGAATATCACTCAGCAACTAATGAGTTTGAACTGACTGATTTACAGTATCACCCAATCCAATATAAATTTGGATAACAAGAAAATATTTTTCTACTGAACCATGTGAGAAATAAGGTACTAACAAAAACACCACAAATTACTTACTCTCTGCAGACAAGAATGCAATCCAGTAGAACTATACAGTATTCAAAGGATGCTTTTTGCATAGTGAGTAGTATAAAGAATGAACAAGGTGGTAAACACATCTAGGAATGAGGTAACAATTAACCTAATGTACTCAAGGCAGCAAACTGGTAAAACAGAATTTATACTAAATTTCATCTTCTGATTCCTGATCTCGCTCAGCTGTTTTCAGTAATCCCATCTCCACAGACTGAGCCTGCTTAATCTTTGAACGAACTCTCCTAGAAAGGGTAAAAGAAAGGGAAGATAAGCCACATATTTATCATTTTAAATCAAACAGAGTCAAATGCTGACCCTGGTGATTTTGCAAAGGATGTAGGAGGCAATCATTTTTGTCACTAGATTTAAGACGACTATAAGAACTATAAATGGCTATCAGGGGTATACCAGCCTGATAAATGGAAAGGGTACAAAAAAGGAGCGAGAGAATGATAGGAGAAAAAGATGGGTGAGATCCTGCAATCTAACACTGATGAAAATCCCATGTGCAATTCCACAGAAATGAAGACTCCAGAAGTTTTGCCAGAGGAAACTTTTCAGGACCAGATAAAGGGCTACCATTCAGAATCACTGGACACAACTGGTCAGAAGAAAATGACATTTAATCCAAGGAAAATATTAACAGTGAAGTCCGTTGGTCTGTGCTTCAGATCAAATGTTAATACCCTCCCAGCTAACATACTGGTACAGGAAAGCACTGATAACAAGCAAGCTGTAGGAGAACGATTCTAATCTGACCTTCACATTTTAACAGTCTCTAACTTTTCACCAGGGTTATTCTTTACTTTTATTGAACGGGTCAGTTACATAGGATTTATGCTTTCGCAACATGCTATTTTTCATTTTCCTTTTAAGAAAAAAGGAACAAAAAAAGAGCCTGATTTTAATTTTTTCAGCTAAGACCCCTCTGAAATAAAGCCTCTCTCATGGTGTAACAACACAGTTCTCCCATGTTTTAGTTCTGCAATTAACTTACCAGCTGACAATGGTGTAGTTCACTGCAAGTATAAGAAAAGCAAAGGCATAATGCCAGCAATAGCACATCGTCAAGAACATCATATTATTGTGATCCATTTGGTTCCATTCTGGGCTTCCATTTGGAGGATACAGTACAAAGCCAATCTATAATTAAATGAAATACAGTTTTTAACACTCATCTGATATCTATGCTGTGCCACATCACATATTGCATGTGGACCACATGTCAAACAGCAACTGTTTACAGATTTTTTTTATACTGGTGATTATGTCTAAGATGTTATTAAAACAGTTATGCAGCATCACATTCAAATTTGATCATTAAAAAAACCCTATAGCGCAGAAAGACAAAGAAATCCTTTCAAAGACAGTGATAATTCCAGGGGACCTTGGTTGCTCCTTCTCTCCTCATGCAGACAAACTCTGTACCAGCCTGAATGATCCTGCAGTAGTCAAGCTTGTATGGTATGAGTAGAGACCAAATGCACAGCCTTTTGTAGTCTGAAGGAGAAACAGAATACCAACTAGAAAAAGTGCCTGGCTCCAAGATTGCCCGAACTCCCCTAAACACTGACCTTACTCCCTGCACTCCAAAAGCCTGATTACTAGGTTTTCCTTATGAGAAGGAGCAATAGTCCGCTTACACTGTAAATAAAAATTGTTTGTATCTGAATATGTCGTCTTAATTTCAAGAGAAGGGGCTTGATTTTGCAAATTTGAGTTTCATAGTATCACTTTGCATAAAAACAATAAAGACAAATAAGAACTGCTCTCCTCCGCACCTTGTGAAAAAGATTTTCTTTTAAAAAAAATAGAAGAAGTGACATCCTCATCTGAACCTGCAAACTACTGGCAGTTACAATTGTGGGACACTGTCTCAGGAGGTAGAAAACACAAACTCATTTTACTGTGTAAAACTATCATCTGTCCTGGTTTAAGTTAAACCAGAGTTCCCCAGCATCCCAGCATGCTTTTCAGCCCTGGGCTGGGCTGTCTGCTCCTGAGAGCTGGGCTGGCCTCACCCATCTCCTCCCTATCCAGAGCTCCAGCTGGCTAAAGAGGGGGTGGAGGCTACAGGCACAGCAGCATCTGCCTGGCTTCCACCTGCCTCTCCCCACCCCACTGCTCAAGCAGTGATCCCCACCTCTCCAACAGCAAGGACCCCAGCAGCACGACCCCAGCTGGCATCTGGTCACGGTCATGCCACCCTCATGCTAGCTAATGCTGAGAGGTGTCCATGTGCGTGTCTCCAATTTTACTGGAACAAAGACGGACAGAACAGGACTTTTTGGAATTAATCATCAGGTCAGCTAGTAATGTCCCTCCATTCTTCCCTACAAATGCCTTTAAGAAAAAGCTGTTTAAGAAAAGCTTGGTTCAATGAGAAGCTTTTGTTTTCTTGATGGGTTGATAAGCTTTGTGTTCTAATAAACTCCCTGCTGGCTGTTGGCTTGCTTCAAAGGGCATAATCTGTCAGTGTTCAAGAGGGGACAGAAAGAGGTGTGAGAAATGACCTGGTTTTCAAAGCATGGGGCCTGTGAGTGCCATCAGTTTGCTACAGACAGTATGAAAAAGCAGGGAGAGGGAGACTGAAAAGCTCAGTACCATCAACAGATGCATGCAGTCCACATAAACAGTCCTTCCTCTCCCATCCCCCGCTTTGCCTCAGAGTGTGAGCCACAGGCCGGGGTCTGGCAACACTCCTCAGCCCTTGAGCAGCGAGCAGTAGGGGAAAGCCTGACAAGGGCTGCTTCCCCCTCCCCATCTAAGTACACCCCAGCTGGGGACTATGCAGACCGGGGTGGGGATTTAAACACCTCCCTAACCATAGCGTCCTGCCATGCCCCCGCCCTTCAGCTCAGCACTGCTGAAGGGAAGGGAGGGCTCACTGTAGCACCCCCTGGCTTCTAGCCTGAGCCACTGCAGGAATGTGCCTGTATTTCCTGAATCAAAAGTGAATTGTCTATCCACTTGCAAATTGGTTCACTCTCCACAGGTTAGACTAACCTGCAAAGATTGAATCAATTCAAGCTCAAGCTTTTTGAATGTCTGTTCCTAGCCTTGGTGACTATCCAAGCTGACCCAGGATAGACTAATACTACTTCTCTGTGCCACTAAGTCTCTTCTAGAGTCAGTGCTCAGCAATTTAGTTGGGAACTTTTGAGGCAAGGCAAGTTTCACATGCAAAGCACTGGTAATGCAAAAAGAAAATTCACTCATCTTTTACATGTGTACTGCTCTGCACCCAATGGGCACCTGTACCTGAGTGCAGAGGCTGCTGCAACACTCTGGAATTCTAGTGCATTGAAGCAGACTTGATTAATCAGCCTCTGTGTCTCATGTATCAGTGCCCCACACTTAAAAATAACAGCAGGGGTCAAATGAGCTTTTGTTCAAGCATCCCCACCACCATTTTTCAGCGTAGGGACACTGATACATGAGATGCAGTGGCATTTTAATTAAAGCAGCTCTCAGCGCCGCTCTAATTAAAAAGTGTTGCCCCCCACCACCACCCCCAGAGCATATGTAAGAGTGCTGAATGTGTGGTATTCTGTCACACACACAAGTAAAGTCTGTAATCCAAGCATGAAAAAGCCACACTTACATATCTTTTATTTTTTCAAATTACATCTGTGGTGTACATTGAAACCAAAAACACTTTCCCAATTACTTGTCTAAATGAATACTAGACATACAAGAAAAAATAAATGACTACCTTTAACTCTGCTGTTGTAACATTTTTTAATCAACCAAGAAAACTGCCCATATTGCAAAATACAGCAGTATGTTCTGAGATGCCCAACGTTTTTCTTGAGCTCAGTTATGGAAAAGATTCATGTTTAGGTGGTATTTTCCTTGTCAGTGAAAACTTCTACATATTTGATTTAGTGCTAAAAGTCCAAGGTTTGTGAGGAACAGCCAATTGTTTAATTTTCCATGTCTGGCCAGAATATAAAAAGGGAAGCCAGTCTAGACATACTGAAACAAAGAATCACTCTAGTGACCAGTTTTCCAGCATCAGGCCAAGTCTAAGTGCCTGTTAGTTTAGCAATTCATAAAATAAGTATGTGCCACCATCTTTATTTTGAGTATACATGGTTCTGACAATAACTCATTAACACATGGCTATTAAACTCCTGCTAAAAATATGGAATGACAAAGTGGTGATAGGAACACCCGCTAGATCTTAAAAAGGTAACTGATGCTGCATAATTGAAGTAATAAAGTTCTGGGCTGCAGTTTTACTTGTTCAGATCCCAATGTTTGTAAATTGGCAAGCTGTGTTTTATGCAAGGGCTTTGGCCCAATCTTTAGTTACCTCGAGCCTAAATATCTTAAGCCTTAGTGACCCATTGGGATGCTTTTCAGTGGAGAGATGGAGTCAACTCAATGCATTCAAGATATTTCCCTTTATCCTTCCTCTTCACCTTCCTCTTCACAGTAACTTCAGTGTTCACAGGACCTTTTCTCTACCTTATGCCTTATTTTATTAACTATGGACTAACACACTTTCTCTGCACAATTATTGTATTTATGTAGGAGTATTTATTGTATTTATGTAGGAGTAGGAAATATTAACTGCCCCCTCTGCTGCTTTCCTTCTAGCTCCAGCCCTGCTCTAGCCCAGGGCATAAAATACATCTGCTCCAGCTCCAGCCTGACCATGCAGCAGTCAGGGCCAGAACTGCCAACACCATTGCTACATGGCTGGGCTGAGGCCAGGGCAACATGTGTTCTGTGACCTGGGCTGGAGTGGATTCAGAGCTAGTGGGTAGGCAGCAGCAAAGGAGCAGAAGTTGTGAGGGGGTAGGGGAGCAGGGTAGAGGTTGGGCAGCTGCAGCTCCAACTCCAACCATGGGGAATCAGAGCCACAACAGCTGCCTGCCCCTACCCCTCTGCCCCCCCCCCAACTTGTACTTGAATCCAAGGGGACAAAGGGACTATCTGGACTTGGGAAAACAGAAGTAGTAGTAAAATAGTTTCCTCATCTTTAACTTGGTATTATAATAAAATCTTACATTTCTGTAAGGGCACTGATGATTAATGGCCCTTTGTGAATACTCTGGGATCAGTGTATAAAATGAATTGTGCAAATGCCTAGTACAGGATTCACAATCAGGCTGTGGCAGCACTCCAGATCTTTTTAAAGGTGCTATGGTGTGCCACACAATATCATCCTAGTTAGGGGTGCAAACACCTACAGATGATTCACCAGATAAACCCAAACATTTCAAATAGGTATCTATAATGTTAAACACATTCTGACCTGTTGTGCTCTTTCTGAGTTCTATGCAACAGAAGAGTTGCTCTATTATTTTTCTGTAGTCAAAAAAGAAAAAAAGTGAAAAGGAAGGGGAAGCATTTTCCAAAGGCATGCCTTGGGTCTAAACAGGTTGAGAACCACTGGCCTAGTAGGTCATCCCTGAGGTATCTGAAAAGGGAATAATGACTAACAGAAACCAAGGAAGAAATCTTAAAAGTCATGAAACAAAGACTCACCTGCCAGAACCAGCTGCCCTGCAGTATGCACAGACTTGTACGGAACATCTCTAGTACAATGCTACCGCGGAAAAAGACTTCCAGAAATATGCAAATAGCTGCACCAAAGATAGCCACTAACAGTAACTGATGAACATGAAGATCCAACATGGCTCTTCCATGTATGTGGTAATAAAAGAGGAAACCTGTGACAACAGAGAAGATCGGTTACTTAAGACAACAGGATTAAACTAGGCATTTTGTTGTAATGACATCTAAAACCTCTACAAAAAACCCCAAAACAGTAAACACTGCTCTTTTTCTCTTTGTATCAAGTTCTTCTAAAACTTATTTTTCAGAGTGAATTAAGGTATGAAAACAGGTCCCTTTGTACTATAAAAACAAAAAATGGGAGAGGGAGGTGATAAATTATTTACCCTGGTGTGGGTTGCTGCCCATGGCCAGTAAGGGGCAGGTGGACATGCTCGCTTCCATACCATACTTCTCATCAATTTTTAAAAAAATGGCATTACTGGTAACAGAGACAATCACCATATTTAGAGCACAAGAATGGTGCTGTAGTATGCTCATCATGTGTTTCCTGGTGACTGATGCATGTGTAGATACACCCAAGCTAGCTTCAAACTAGCAAGCTCTGCACTAGCTAGCACTGGTACCAATATCAGCAAAGCTACAAAGGCAGTGACTTCAGCTCCCAAGTACTTACACCGAAGGTTCTGGACAGACTTGTGCAGTCCAGGTAATTAGGACAGATGGTTTAAACCTACCTCTATGGCTGGAAACAGACATCTTTGGTGGAGCACAATCAACAATGGGGTCAGAGGAAGGGAAAGCTGAAGTGCTCTGGGTCAAGATACAAGGGGGCCGTGGGGAGAGGGATCTAACAGTGGGGGTCTACTACCCCCCAACCAAGGGGAGGAGCTGGACCAGGAATTTTCGTGCCAGCTTGCAGAGGCACTTAAGGCAAGGGATGTAGTTGTCATGGGTGATTTAAATTACCCGGACATCTGCTGGGAGGAACAGTCAGCCAGGTCGGACCGTTCCAGGAGGTTCCTGGCCGAGATACAGGACCTCCACTAATTCAGGAGATGCACAGTCCCACCAGAGGAAATGCCCTGTTGGACCTGGTCCTGGCCACAGGCGATGACCTGGTAAGAGGCCTCCAGATTCTTGACCACCTGGGTGATAGCAATCATCGCTTGCTGGAATTCACCACCCAGCACAGGGTGTCAAGGGCCTGCAGCAAGGCAGTAACCCTAGACTTCAAGAGGGGCAACTTCAACAAGTTGAGGAGATTAGTGGGAGAGGCACTGGGGTTCTCGAGGGTAGGGGAATTCAGTGCCCAAGATGAGTGGTCATTCCTTAAAGAGATGATACTCAAGGCCCAAGGGGTGACCATCTCAACAAGAAGCAAGGGGGGCAGGAGTGCCCGAAAGTCCCCCTGGCTCACCAAGGGTGTACAGGAATGCCTGATTGCCAAAAAGGCAGCGTGCAACCGGTGGAATGGGGGTGCTATACCTCCTCTGCTTGGGCCTGTCGGGGGGCTGTCAAGAAAGCTAAGGCAGACATAGAGTTAGGACTAGCGTCCAAAATCAAAGATAATAAAAAGTCCTTTTTCAAATATATAGGGAGGATGAAGAAAGCACCGGGAAATGTGGGGCCCCTGCAAGATCCTCTGGGCAATCTGGTGGTTATGCCAGAGGAGAAAGCAGATGTCTTTAACCAATTCTTCACCTCTGTTTTCTTGTGCAGGGACCAGGACTTCCCTACCGTGATGCAAGACAGACTCGAGAGGAATGCCTCCAGACCTCAG